CAGCTCCCAAATGTAAATCTTGGTGAGTTCCTTCCGCATTAGTGGACCAAAAATCCAGGACACTATACATCTGGGCTCTATCACCTTCATCCGGACCAGTCTTTCGCTTACCACCAATCTGAATTGCTCGCTGTCCTCCCAAACCTCAAAGATTCCGTTCAAGATCGCATGTTGCTTCTCCGAATCCCCTGCAGTCAGATCCTAGAGTGAAAAAGTAAGCGTAAGCAGTGAGTTTAGAGTTAGTGGTATAAATAGGTCATAGAAAGGGAATAGAAACTGCCTTGATACGTCTTATAACGCATATCTGTATCTATCATGAAGGCTAAGATAATTTTTCGGAATAAATCGACATAGAAATGAAATGAATTATGCAAATGGATGATATATTCATAATTGATTGATTATAATCTTACCTTAAATACCGAGTGGTATTTGCAGAGTATAGCGAAAGTATGGCTGAATGATTTAGACCCGAGGTGGAGGCAGTTCTGGGTAAGAACGTTGATCTTCAGCAGCGGTCCGATTCCTGTGGTGCCATTTATAAGGGTGGAGATCATTTCCGGGCAGGATTGCTTGTTGCGCATAGTCTCCAGGAGATTCTTGGACAACAGCGCCCCCGGGAGCGTTTCGTCGACGAACTTGAAGTGTGGAATGGGAGTCCGCGGAAGGAAACCGGCGAGAAAATCCGGCAGAATCTGTGCAATTCTCTCGGGATATGAAAGTCTGCGTTTTGGGAGATTATTTATATAATCATAAGCATAATTAAAATAACATCTAAGTATTAAACCTAATGAGCTTGTGGTAATCAATTTATCAAACTTGTAAAAGTTTTTAGTTGAAACCAGTATAGCCTACGGTATGTTGAGCAAAGTATTTGAACGAAATAAGGAAAGTAAATGAGGAAAACCTTTTAATTGAAACATGCATACATATTGCATTAAAAGGTACAGCCCATGTAACATTAAAATCAACAAAAATCTAATGATTAAGTAAAAAAATTTAGAAACTCCGGCCACAGATAGGGAATAAACATAAAATACTAATCTCTTTGGTGAGAAGATAATGAAGCATAAGCCTGAATGGTGGTAACTCCTTGATTTTCAGTTTAAGAAAACTAATTCTTTATTAATTGGTTGAGTATTACGCACCTGACACACTTCTTGAGCAATTCCCTGAGGAAAACCGCCTTCGGCTGGAGATTGGTGGCACTTGGAACGATCGATGATCGTAGACTCTGTCCCCACTTGTCCCAGTAGAGGGCGAACCCAAAGTTGCTTAGGTGGAACGACAGCCAGTTGACCAGCCGGTCGAAGCAGGCCACGCTCATGGAGTCCAGTCGGTCGAAGAGGATGAGTGCGGCATGATTGACCACGCGGGGCACCTTGTCAGGCTGACGCTTGCAGAGCTCCACCAGCAGGGCTCCGTAGTTGATGTTGATCCACTCGGAAGCGGGCAGATGCAGCATCTCGCTCAGAATCACCTCTACGATGCAGTGGTAAACTGCCAACTGGGTCTTGGTGGCGGCATAGGCCAGGAGGTTGTCGGCGCAGATCCTCCTCTCCAGATGGAGGGACTTGAGGATGTCCTGGATCTGGACCTCCAGCAAATGCCGCTCGATGCGCAGCGCATGGTGGCAGTAGGGAAAGAGGCAAAAGGACACTCGCGGTGGGGGATATGGGCATTTGTGCTCATGGGGCGCCATCTGGAAGTCCCGCAGGCAATGCAACGGTCCAATACTCAGGGCCTCGTCGAAGGCCAGGTAGGGTCGTGGAATCAACTGGTGCTCTGGCTCGGCCCACTGTTCCCGCCTCAATCCATCCACCCTCTGCCAGAGCAACTCCAAGTAGTCCCTGTGCTTTGAGTCCCGCCAAATACACAACGCGGCAGTGGGCAAGGTGCTTCGCTTCTTGATGTAAATCTGCAGGGTGAGCATTAGACCCTCGAATCCCGCCTTGCCCTGCAGATCTTTGCCGATCAGTAGAATGGCGGATAGCACACAATAGGCCAGCCAATCGCGACGAGTCTGCGGTACAGGGTCCACCTCATCATCCGGATCCTTGACGTTCTCGCACTCCTTCACGCAGCCCGCTAGGAAATTCAGCAATGACGACGAGGAGACCACATGGCAATTGTACAAGTCCACCAAGAAGTGGACCACTCCCCGCATTCTGGACCAGTCGCGGTTGCAGATGGTTTCATGTAGCTTCTGCGTCATGAAGGCCAGGCATTCGAAGGCGAACTCAAAGTTGACGATATTCAAAAGGCCCACGAATGTGGCATAGGCACTGGCCTGCCCCGGATGGTTGCCCACGCAGGTGATCAGGAGTTGCAGGATGTGCTTCCTGAGCTCGGGGCTTATCTCGTTCCGCAGCAAGTACGAGAGGTTCTCCAGCTTAAGCTCGATGGAAGAGCCGCCCTGGTAGCTCAAGCCCAGCATCAACCGGTCCACGGTAGCCATCTTGAACTCAGAGGTCCTCTTCCGGCGGCTGTCGTCCTCCTCATCACCACTCGAATCTGCACGCTTGCGACGACCTGACTCCATTTTTCCTCGATCTGGAAATTAAAGAACACACTATTTGGTAATGCCTTTACTAACGAAACACTAAAATTATTGCAAGGAAAATACAAATTATTTATGAAATTGTTTAGTTTACAAGGGAAGCAAAACAGCAGCATTGGGGCTTATTGGTTAGGATCATAATTTAGCACACTGTTCAAAAAACGATTTAGCTTGTGACCGGTTGCGTTTATCTCGTGCTTTGTGATTTTGTAAAATTAGTTATTTTATTAATATCTGTGGTACTGGTGTCTAATTTTTTAATCAAGCCTAGCTTAACCGCCGGGTTGGTGCTTTAAATGAGTATTTTGGTTTTAATTGTTTTTTTATTGACAATTCAACAAAAATAAATTTTGTTGTTTTTTTGGATGGCTACATGGCGCTGACCAATGATCGCTTTACGAAACTTTTTGATAGTTGTTGATAAATCAAAGAGTTCAAGGTCAACCTTGGTAGTAAAAAAGTGTCATTTGTCAGTTTACTTCTTCTGGTCTAACATCGGAGAGAATATACTCTCATAGCCCTAGCGACATGGAATTTGTTAGTGTAAAAGTTTCTTTGCGATCCTTATCTATTTTTGTAACCTATATTTATATATTTGACCTGGATCTGTCTTAATAACTTATTAGTCAATTTTGTCTGGAATAAAATCTGTCCTATCTCATCTTTCCAACAGGGATATCTTTATTTTTCTGGGGGGTTTTAATCTCCCTGATATTCCTTTATCTGTCCATAACTTTATTGATGCTCTGTTAGAATTATCATTACAGCAAGCTTTATATGAAGACAGACAACTAGGTCTTGTATTTGTTTTAGACTCGTCTGAAGTCACAGTATCTAAAATTGACGCACTTGTTGTCTTAGAAGACCGATATCATCCCAAGTTGGAATCAACAATTTGCTTCCCCCGCGTTGATACCCTCTCGCCTTTACTTATCCAACTTAAATTAGATGCTTTCGTAAATGTGACTATAATAAACTATAGTTTAGAAGCTTATAAGCTAGACGATTTCCCAATACAATTGGACAAATTTTAGCAATTACATGGATATTGAAAGAGCCACTGTATTATTTTATAGCGTCTTAAACTCATTTGCGTTCCTGATATATTTCATTCAATGCAAAACGGGCCTCCTTGGTTTACCTCCTTAAAACAAACACTTATAAAAAGAACAAAAAGTAAACAAATGTGATGGCCTGATTGGATTTTAATGTTCTCAACAGTCATTGCTCAGTCAGCTTATGTCACCGTGTCAACGTGGTTTTTTAAGTGAAGATCGACCATGGAGTCTGGTTTCTGCTTGCAGTGAGATTTTAATTGTTTCCAGGAATGGTGTTATGAGTTATTCTCATCAGTACATGCCACTGGACCGATTAAATTCAGTCAACGGTTTAGGTGTTGTTCTGGACATAAAACTTTAATATGACTACCTCTAACCTCTACTGTATAAAGCTATAAAGTGCTCATGGGTTTTTGAGGCGTTGGTCAAAAGAATTTGAAGATCCATTTACAACCAAATTATTTTTTACCTCCCTTGTCCGCCCTAATTGTTCTTCGGTTTGCAGTCCACAACATCAAGTGCACATTGGCCGTATTGAGCCGGTACAAAAACATATTTTCTCTTTGCCCTTCGTGGTTTCAACTTGGATCAAAACGTGGGGTTACCTTCTCATCCGAGTAGTTTGCCATTGCTTAATTTGCCTACTCTAGTAAATCGTAGAACAATGCTTGTATGCATAATCTTATTAAAGGTGATATTAATTCTGATATTGATATTAGACTAGCGCGCAATTATTATCATATTAATTTTTCCAAAGTTTCTACTGTTTTTATCTTTGTTGTGTTCCATCTCTATTTGTTCCATGTACCTTGCTCGCAAACAATAATTCAACAATAATTCTGGGTGGCAACCGGGAAGCAAATATTTAATTTTTTCTGTGATTTATTTACTACTTCCTATCGTTTGGGAAGTACTACATAAACTTTTAGGGGAAAGTTTTGAACTGAGGAGAATATTTTTTTAAAGATCACTTAGGTCATGTCTGTTTATATAAGAGGAAATTTTTTTTAAATACAACAAAGAAACATACACAGGAAGTAAATTTTATAATTTCTTTAACAACTTTATTACCAAATACCTCAAGAAGTTTAAGTACCCAAAAAGATTAGCTGATAAACACTTAAAAATGTTAACACCTTTTTATTTTATCAAGTTCATACTACTGCCGGGTATCTATATAGATTTTTTTGCACTCATAGATGAAATGTGTTGACTGAATTCTTATCATTGAAGATTACTTACATGACTAGAAGATGGGGAATTTAATAAGGTATTTTATCGGTATCACGCAGTGCCGTTGAACTGAAACAATCTACAGACTTATCTATCCGACTTTTGACAAAATAAAAGTGAATACCCCCGCAGAAAGATGGGGTAGAATATAAAAACTTCTGCCAAGATTGCTCCCAGTGCAGTATACCTGTGTCTCGCGAGTGCTTAAAATATAAAATAAATGGTTTGTTATAATAATTTTAGCCCAGAATGTATTATTAGATCGTTTTCGTATATTTTTAAACCGCAGATACTAATTATAAAGTTGCTTCTCTTGAGCTTTATGGGAATTGGAGATGGAGCCCGCATTCTGGCACCTTTCTTCTCACCTACACCAAGCCATTATATGATGACAAATGCGATTATAAGAGAACTGGTAAAACGTGGACATGAGGTCACATTCATAACTCCGTTTTCGTTGGCCAAGGAAAACTTGGGGCCAAACTAGAGAGAAATTCTTTTGCGCCATTATGACTCATGGGAAGATGGTAAGTCAGTTCAGTACTTAAAAAACATAAATTCTAACATATTTTTCCACAGTTTCTGCAAAGATGAATACAAAATCGGCGCTGGATATGATTGACTTGTCAGGGATGACGCACATGCGTCTGGCCCAACACATTGGTATCCAATCAACGGATTTTGCACTGGCCCATCCGGGAGTTCAGGATCTAATTCACGCCAAAGATAAGATCGGTAAATTCGATCTTAATTAATCTAATACCCTCTACACACTGCCGCCTTAAAATACTCTTATACCTTTTTTATAATCGCCTTTTTTAACAATTAGAACATTTGTTAAGATTTAATTTGGTGTATCTCATTAAATTCTAGCAATTAATCTTATCATAAACCAACAAAAATGGTACACAATGTCCTGATTTTCAACCAGAAAATGTATGGGTACTAAAGCAAAAAATTGCAGTGGGCCAACGGGGAGCTATGCTCCTTTTTTAAGGAAATGACCTGTTGCACCAAAATGTATATTATTTATCTGAAGAAAAAGTTATTTAAAGGAGCATCCACCTCCCACCTCCCAAGAGTCTCAGTTCATTTCACTATGCTCGCCTAAATGGAAATCCCACCCTTGATCAAATTGCTAATAGCAATGAAATCATCATTTGGCGCTGAAAACATTCCATATGCTAGCATTCAAATTGTATTTAGTTTTGCGTTGTTTTCTATTTGTTTTACTGTTTGCTTATGCCGATCAGCTGTTCGATTTAGCGTTTCTGTTCCAATTTTAGGCGGCTGTGTGTAGACGGTATTAACACTGAAAAATCCCAAAATTACCTAGTAGTGGTAATTCGGCTTCAGCAAAACACTAAAAATACTGACAACAACAGATATGCTGTGCTAGGGTCACACTGCATTTTGGCATTTTGGCGTCACTTGACTCAAGTGACTTGAGCAGTAGTTGGCTCACTTCGATGTTATTCAGTTTGGTAGCATATTCTGAGCGTTTCAGGTCTTCCAATTCCTTTATTTTCAACTTAAGCAATGCTATTTCATGAGCCTTTTGCTCAGCCATTTTTTAGATGCTTTTTTATAAGCAAATTTGTCAGGACATTTTAATTTTTTCTATTTAGTCTTTCCGTGTTGCACAGAAAATATATTTTGCGAATACTCTTTAGAAAGATGCAAGCAAGATGCTTTTCGCCAGTACTGAAACTGATTTTTAAAACTTAAATTTATAGATTATAATTATAATTATAATAAGGCATTCCCTTTCTTTCAGGTTTATTTGGCTTCAATTGTGGCATGAAGTCCACCGTCAGTTTCCAAAACATGAATTTTATTTTATGACCGTCATTCCTAAAGATCTCCACGCTCTCAGCGTTGATGTAGGCCAGTCTCCATGTTCTCTATGAAGACTCAGTTCTGTCTGGTTCCGAAACGTACCATTTTTCCGCCTCGGTTTGGCTCTGGCAAACTTTAAAGATTCGATCCATCTCCTTTTTGCTATCATCGGTAACACGAATGAAATTGTGGAGATGTTTAGATTGTTTTGACGATGAAAATATATTTATGATCTGAACTGCATAAGTTCTTGAAACCAGGGACCGTAAAAATAATGTTTTAACAATTAAAACTTAAACTTACGAAGTTTTATAATAAAAGATGCAAAATAAGTTCCTTAAGTTTTACTTGCCGCTTTACTGTCACTTTCCAGAACATAAATTTCATTCGTGACCGTTTTTCCTTAAGATATCCACGCTCTCTGCGTACGTAAGTTACAATTTCCCAGTTCTCCGTTCCTGGGAGAATCGGCAATCGGGGAGTTTCTTTACATATCATATTAATCAAGGAGTCAGTAATTTTTATGTTTCTTGCTGAAAATTTGTCTACAAAATACCGAAAAAATAAATTACATAGATAATTAATGTTATTTTGCGCCATTTTTCTTATTGTTTCGGTTGCTGTTGCTCACCTTCAACTTCGGTGGTTTTCTGAAACATACATAAGTAATACATATTTATATCGTATTTGTGCTAGCAAATATAGTTATAGCTGTGTTGAACCTTTTTAATTGCCTTTGAACGTTTTGGAAAATCTTCTTCGTGCTTATTTTACAAAGTCAATTTCTCGGAATTTGGTTTGCAAAACTATAAACTCGATTTGACATGACTCGTACCATGCTTCTATTGGCACATTTTCTGTCATTGGCTCACTTCCGAAATTTACATTAAGCACCGACATGTGAGTGGTGTAAGTAAATCTTTCTACAGTCATTTCAAATCGGGTACGAATTACTTGAAAAGTTAGGACGGCGCGAATTTTCTCTATTTAAGAACAAAAATTTCAAATTAAGTTCGAATAGTTCAAGACCGAAATTATGGATTTATGAACGAACTATCTTGATCCAAAGAATAAAATTGAGTGTACATAAGTACTATATTGCATTGCAGCAGCATACATTTTAGAGCAAGACGACTATATAAACATAAAACGGTTATTGCGGTAAATTTTTTTTTAAATCCTTAAGAAATATAAAAGAAGCAGCAAGTTGTGAGCAAGTGAAGAGCAAGCAAGTGAAACACAACAAATAATAAAATAATAAATGGATACCAACGATTTGAATGAGGGTAAGTAGAAAATCTTTGTAAAAAAGCCAAAGGCGACTTTCATTATGAAAATAATTATTAAAATAAAAAAGTAATGTAATGTAAGAAATTTATTGTATCATTAAAATTAAACTAAAAATATATATATATTGTTATTATTATTATATTATAAATTATTTTAAAAGAGAGCAGCGGTGCCGGCTGCTGGTCTGGCGGCCGTGCAGTACGCCACGCGTGCGCCGCAGAATCCGCCACTGCTCCGGAATCCTGCGCAGGAGTGGCAGCCTGCGCAGGCATATGTGACTCCACAGCCACAGTGGTATCCTGCGCAGGGGTGGCATCCTGCGCAAGGGTGGCATCCTGCCCAAGGATTTGCGGCGCCACCGCCCCACCAGCAGTAGCATCCTGCGTGGGAAGCGCCCCACCAGCAGCAGCATCCTGCGTGGGAAGCGCCCCACCAGCAGCAGCCTCCTGCGCCGGCAGCGCCACAGGAGGAGCCGGCAGCAGCGCCACCTGCGCAGGCTGCTCCCCTGTTGGCAACCCCACGTGTGCCGCTGCCATCAGCAGGACGTAGGCCTCCTGTCGCTCCTCAGGAGCGGCCAGGGCGCCCATATCCAGCATTAATACGGCCGCGTCTTTCCTTGCCTCTCAATGCTGCAGTGGCTCACTGGCCACAGATGCCAACAAAGCATCAAGTGAGTCACTTCGACGGCAATGGACGACGACGCCGTATCAATGCTGGATGTGCTGGTCAAAATGCGTGCATGCATGTAAAGCCAGGCGCCACAACTGCTTGGCCACGTTCCGCACTTTTTCCTGCCCCTGTTGCCCGTTCAGCTCGGTGAGCAAGAACCCGAGTGGGCATAGTCTAAGTGCGAAGGGGACGGGATCACGGCGTACGTGCCGGATGGCCCACATGCCACCCTGCGGCAACACTGGGCGGAGCTGAACAACGGGGTGATGCAGTCGCGGGAACTCAGCGAGGGATTACGTTTATTGTTGTATTTATTAATTATGAGTTAAAATTGAATTTGATTCTTCGCCAGCCTCTGCGAGCTTCAAATCTGGCTAGGAAGAGTGGCCCTCAATGGTCACAGGCGATCCCTGCTCATATGGTTATTGGAGGGCATGCTGCGAACTCTGACGGTAGGCAAATCTATCTACATATATGCTTTACTATTGTTCATATGATGTATCATTACAGAGTGCTTCCACCCACGTATACATAGAACTTATCCTAGACGCATGACCAGCAGTTACACAGGACTTTACGAGTAATGGGTATAATAAAAATGAGTGAACGTTTTGGTGCAACAGCAGCCAACGAACAAGATCATGGCTAGATTATATATTTCACACCAAACTCGCAAGTTAATTTAAGCTTTTGGAGCCGATTTTGTAAAATACGCATACGCATTGATAATCCTAACCAGGCTCTAACTAGAGAAGTGTTTCTAATTAGATAAGAAACATCAGCTAATGGGAGTAGCTAAACAAGGTTTGTGCCCTGGGTAAAGAGGGGTTAATTGCAGAGGCAACCAAATTGTTTCGGTCTGGCAGCACGAAGTATTTTAATTAACTAGTGGCAACGCTGTAGATTTTAAATGAAGAAGTTTAAATTCGGAGAATTTTTTAAATATGGTTTGGGTCTAGGCTTTGTCATTCTCAGTAGTACCGCTATCGTCCGCTTGGTGCTGTGGCAGTGGGATGAGAACATGATGAATATTGTTTTTAAATTCGCTTAGCCGCATTGGAATTCGCTCCGTCCAACAGCGAATTTAAGTCGAACACCACAAATAGGTGGCGCACTTACAATTTTGATATTAGTCTTGTAACGGTCATACTCAATTCAATATTTTTCGAATATTGCGCGGTGTGATTTCTCCCCCAAATCCACGTCCCGTAGAACCCTGCAAACCACAGTCAATTTGGCATCGTAGATCAGCTATTCCTTGTTGTTTCATTATATAGAAAATTTACAAAACTGATAGAATACAATTATGCAGTAACATAGGTTAAAAAGGCCTGCATCGTTTTCGAAATGCTTTCCCTGAGATCGGCCTCCTCGGAGATTTTGTGCAGTTTGCAGGATATATTTTTGTAGTCGTCCGCATAGAGGAAAAGCGTCTCCTGTAGCCGGCCAAGAACCCAGTGAAACCAGTAGTGCTCCTCGGATCCCTCATGTTCCTCCGGAGCAGCAGAAAGGGCCTTTACGAAGCGGTTCACGATGTCCAGTAAAATGCTCCTGACCGCGTAATCCGTTCCACTTGGACAGTCCACATCTATAACTTCATTCTGCTTTTGGACACGCTTCACATGGCGAACAGTCGAATGGAGCAGCTCCCAAATGTAAATCTTGGTGAGTTCCTTCCGCATTAGTGGACCAAAAATCCAGGACACTATACATCTGGGCTCTATCACCTTCATCCGGACCAGTCTTTCGCTTACCACCAATCTGAATTGCTCGCTGTCCTCCCAAACCTCAAAGATTCCGTTCAAGATCGCATGTTGCTTCTCCGAATCCCCTGCAGTCAGATCCTAGAGTGAAAAAGTAAGCGTAAGCAGTGAGTTTAGAGTTAGTGGTATAAATAGGTCATAGAAAGGGAATAGAAACTGCCTTGATACGTCTTATAACGCATATCTGTATCTATAATGAAGGCTAAGATAATTTTTCGGAATAAATCGACATAGAAATAAAATGAATTATGCAAATGGATGATATATTCATAATTGATTGATTATAATCTTACCTTAAATACCGAGTGGTATTTGCAGAGTATAGCGAAAGTATGGCTGA